TTAATTTTCTAATAATTTTATTATCAAATGAAGTTTACAGGTGAAAGATAGTGACAATTTACATGAGCAAGTGAATTTAAGTTTGATATACAGTGATATCTCCCACTAAAATGTAACTTTCTGATGTACAAAAAATCATTATTCCATTTCCTAGCTCCATAAGCAACTGTTTCCAAATTACACTGTGATGGTGATACAGCTCTGCAATTGTCTTTTCTGCTTCAAACACTCAGGTCCCCATAAACTTTGTAACACAAATAGCAAAAACACAGCACTGGTTAAGCATCAAAATTTACGACTGAAATGAAGATATGTATTGATGATTTGCTCTTGCTTTTCTCAATTTATTTTTTTGTTTTGTTTCACAGCCTTCCTATGGAACAAATGTCAGTAATGTTCTTTATCATTTAATTCTCTTCATGAGAACGAGTGTTTTTACTGCATTAAGAAATACAACTATTACATTAGCACAACTAGATATGAACCTTAATGCAGCTAAAATACTGAGTTCATAAATGTACTCCAAAATTTTCCGTCTCTGGGATAACCAACAAAAGAAGCTCATTCTTAAATTTTATTCACTGGTCTTACTATATTTTCCTTATTCTATCTTATCAATAAACCTGCTTTAAGCCACCACATTACCAAAGATAAACTCCCCTTTATGAAGAGGCAAACATCTTCTTGTGTTAATAATTAAAAGAATTAAAAAACAATTAATAACGTAATAATTTGGAAAAATAAACCACACATTCCATAGCAGATATATAAAAATAAAGAGTTCCCCAAGCTTTCATTCTCCTAACCTTCTCAGTCAAATGTCCCTGTACACATATACTCAGTATTTACTATATCAAAATACACATGCAAATTCCAACTCATCCTGATTCAAGCAAGAAGTAGTAATTCTACAAGCTATGTATAAATTCTTTACCTTCATCTATTCCTATACACATTTTGCGCTCCGTCTGTTATTACTAGTACAACTGCATTTTGGTTCACTGGTTGTGGTTATGCTAAGACAAGTCCTATTTGCAACACTTGCTCGCTATAAGTTTAAAATATGATATCATAATAATCTGCTGTTATTCAACGTGAATATATTGAGAATCTTTAACATTATAAGTCTTATATATGGGAACAAGCAAAACGTAAATAACCAACACAATTCTTTGTAATATATTACAATCAAACACTGATTTTCCAAATGAATAGCCATCAAACTTATATGCATACCTTGTTAGAAAGGAAAAAGGGGTTAATGATAATTAAAAACACTTCTTCACTTTAATATGTTCTAAAGTTCATTTTTCCAAAATTTCCAGTCTGTATTAGTGTATCCTGGTAAGTTCCTCTACCGTTTTAATTAAGTCCTCCGGGGTTGCCTCAACTTTCATTCCTGAACCGTCACTGATCTGTGGAGAAAAACAATTTCATAAGCAAAACCTTTATACATTATATCATCTACTGTAGTCCTTGAGTATTACAGGATGCAACATTAAAAGTTTTACTCCGGCAAAATACTTAATGATGCCAACAGAATCAACTTGCAGACACCTGTTAATCAATGGTATTTGATCAGAAAATTTTGTCTTTATACATATTCCTTGGTACTTCAATTGCTTTAATCCCTAAAGGATAATATGCAACAATTATCATAGCAAGGTACAAACATTACCTAAGGTTAAAGATGTCTAAAGTTGTTTTCCCACCTTTTTCTAAAAATATGCTTTTTACATTTCTTTCTCATTTTTCCCATCTTTGTACACAAGCTATCCTGTACATCTGAACTGTGTGGGATTCAAGGACAAAAGATGACAAAAAGTCTTTTTCCTTGTTAATTTTTCCATTCATTTCTCACAGATTTTCAAATACCTTTTTCCTGTTCTGTCCACAAGTGTACCTCTGAACATTCCAAGTTTTAAGGATTAATGAGTCTTATATTTTGACAATCAATTCTTAACATCCATTACATTGGGATTTTCCAACTCAATACCCATCAAAAATTTCAGGCTGTCAGCAACTCGAGTCAAAAACTGATTGCATGGGAAATATACATATAACCCCTCTCTTTACATCCTTAGATGCTTCATACATTTTCTATTTTTTACAGAAAATGAGGCCTGAAAGATACTCTATTTTGGTGGATTGTATCTTCATAATGCCTCATATACCCCTCTCTTTACAGTTGCATCATACATTATTTTATTTTTTTTTTTTCTTCGAAAATGAGGTTTGAAAGATACTCTATTTTGTGGCATTGTATCTCCACAATGTCAAACAGGTGGGCCTACCAGATGATTCCTTTAAAACTAACTTCTTGTAAACCCATTAATATGATAAAATAAAAATAGGAAAATACAAAATCAAATTAGATAGCACGTGCACCTATTGCCAGTGGGCTAAAATCTTGTATTCACACAATAAACAGTTCTCTTATTTCAAGGGAAAAGGAATTTAATATTGCCTGTTATCAAAATACTAACAAAACACTTGCTTACACTTACACCTAGTAAAACATTAAGAAAAAAAAAAAAAAACCTATAATATATAAACCTATATCACATCTTCCTTCAAGCCAAAACAAAGAAAATGCTTACTCATGCTTAGACACTATATTGTATGTCAAATGCCTGACAAAACAATGTCACTCCAGAATACAGTAAAGAAATAAACAGTGATTAGCTTACCAAAAGTCCTTGTGCTACTTCCTTCATCTTGTCAGGACTGAGGTCAAGGAAACTTTCTATAAGATCTCCATCAATGAAGCCTTCACATCTGTCCGTCTTACGTTCAGTACTGAAAAGAAAACAAGTCCACATGATATTTAAGGACACTCATAACATACTATGATAGACAAAAAAAGTCATTTAAATTATTCCATTCTTATTTTGGTATCATAAAACATAATGATAAAATATGATCTGTTAACCCATTAACGCGGGTATATTTTGAAAAAGAAGAAGAAGAAAAAAATGCCTGCCGCCCGCGGCCCACTGCTGCATCGGAGCGCGAGCCCCAATACAGCATCACACTGGCGGGACGCCCGGCAATGTTTATTTTTTCGGGTGTCTCATATTTGGGACACCCGTCGTTATTGAGTTAATAGCCCATAAAATGCATGCCTTCTCAACTGATCAGAATGTATAACTATGTCACAAGTATACTGGACAAAAAAATATAATTTCATTCACTTCTGCAATATACTTATGCGTACACCAGTAAATGAAAAAACAATTTATTGAATATTACATATCTTTTACATACCTAAAACTTCTGTAAAAATCATGGTCAATCTTTCCAACCGATTTAATAACTCTTGCTAGACGTTTTTGCATCTCCAGTAGTTGGTTGTATAGTTCTAAATTCAGACTAGTCACCAAACCTGTGTAGAAAATAATCCGCAACTTTAGTAAATATCTTTATAATACACTACTACAATTCTTTTAGAAATAACTTTTCTTTTAACAATAAAAAAACTGCATATACTGTAGCTTAATATTTCTTTGGTTTATTAGCTCTATCAAATAATAATCAATGCCAATATTCCCATATGTATATAAACAAAACTTCAGCTCTCACTCACCAAGAGCTCCATGTACAGTCCCATAAAGAACACAGCCTTGTGTTACTGTTGTAGCTTCTGGCACTCCCTGCATCACCAGTGTCCCATGACGGAAAACATTTACAAAGTCTCCCAAGTGGAAGCGACCAACCTCCTGCATCTGCTGGCGTTCCTCATCAGAAGTGGCCGCACTACAAGAAATGCATAATTTCAGGGTCTGAACTAAATGCAAGAATTTTTATTTACACATCAAAACATATCATTCTCCAGGTAATTACAAGTACTGATAACTGATCTGACTTGTTTACATCTAATGAAATACAATAAATTAATATATTTGTATCTACAAATATAAAAGCTCCTACCTATCTTTGTGACACACAAAGAGGTTATGTGAGTGTTCAGCTCCAAGAAATAGTTCATCATCAAGAATTTCTATAGCAGTCATCCAGTTGGGATCATAGTCCCTAGCAATCTGAAAAAAGTAAATAAATATATATATAACAAAAATCTATATGGATATCCTACTGATGACATATATCCAGGAGGTTTAATACTAGTTTTGTACAAAAGATAATCATAACTTATTGAGCAAAGCATGGATGTTTTATATAAAAAAAAAGCCAAGATGTCTCTGGAAGTAATGCCCCATCACAATACAAATACCTTACTTTCCTTCAATCTGAATTCTAGATTCTTTGAAAATTGGAAATAAAATCAATTGCTTTATGTGGACACAGAAAATGTAGCTCCTCTTCACTGTTAAAGCCATATTTACTGCCTGGGTCTCCCTAAACATAATTTAAATAAATTTTAATTTCGTAAAGATGCATCCAAAGAAAAAAAAAAGTACCTTTTAGTTACCTCTCAATTCCCATTTTTCAAGATAACTGGATCTTACCTCTTCAAAACTACCTTCTAGTGTTTCAGAGAGCGTCATGGACCTCATTAGGTCACCAACCAGTATGAAGTCTCCCTTTGTTTTCAAATACAAAGCAGCTACATTGTTAAAGTGGGAACATTCTAACCTCAATTCACGCTCATTTGTCCATTCAAACAGCCGAACCTGTAAAAATATAATAATAATAAATGAATAAATAAAATAGTTACTTATCATAAAATGTACTGCCACTTAATACATACAATATCAGTAGAAAAAGAAGTAGCACATTAACAAAAAAATCTACTTACAGTACTAGAGATTGCAGCTAGAAGTTTACCCTGGAACTCACAGAGAGAATAGCAAGCACCTTTGATCTCCTTCTCAGCAACCTGGACAAAAATCCTCAGTTTGTATTACAGAAACATAGAAGAGAAGAATTAATAATATTAAATTTTTTCCTTTGCAAGTGTTAAATTCTACACAAAACTTTACTTTCAATAATAATAGTTTGCATTTGCACTCACCTGCTGCAATTTGCCATCAGTGAAGGAGAAGAGGATGATGCGACCCTGCTTGGATTCAGACTCCTCAGGATTAACTAGAGCTGTTCCAACTACATAATAAACAGTCGGGTCATCTTTTAGTCTGGTAGAACAGATGCTAAGGCCATACTCCCCCGGGTGGAAACTATGACAATGGAGCACTGTGCCAAAGGAATTAAAGAAAAAAAAATCATCCTCAGATTCAAAATTTCAGATACATAACATAATACACATCTTAGCTTCATAAAGATATATTATTACAAGTCTGCTTAACCCTTAGCCTCTGGATGATTCTAGTTTCAACATCATGACAAGCCCAGTGGGCTGTACATACTCCCTGGAGCTGAGGCCAACTCCAACCCCAATTTTCCCAGAGGCATTAGGCTGACCTTATCAAATGAATTAAAACAAATTTACAGCTATTCATTCAATAACAATACAGATATACATATATGTAAAAGAATATCAATTTTTCTTCCAACACACCTTCAAATGTATTTTGTGAAATTACTAGAAGATTGTGAGTTTCCACTTCCTGGCCAGGCTCTGGTGGGGGCTGTACAGGAGGCTTAAGGAGGCTGGAAGTGTTGGAGGCAGAGGAGGTAGTGTGCGCTCCTAAGGACGCACTCATTCCACCACTTCTGATTCCATTACTATCCGTAACATCCACACGCATGGTAATCACCCCAAATGTCTGGACATATGAAAATTTAAAGCAGTAAGTAAAACCTTTTCTTATGAGTGACTGATTCATCAACTAAGGTCTTACACATAAACAAATAAAGAAAATTCTGGATCACTAAAGATACAAGAAACTGACCTCTGTTTCCTCTTGATACGCAATTCGACGTGGAGTTTCTCCTAGAGGGACCGTGCGAATATGCAACTTCTGAATCTCATCAATGGTACCAATAGTGATGCCCTCACTTGTTGCCAAGGCCAAACTGAAAAGGGACATCACATCAATCCTTCCATCAAATCAACATACACAGATGTGCAAATCTTAGGACTAAAGTTTCAAAATCTCTCTTCAAAACTACCAAAAAAATTCCTTCTACATATCGGTCGGCAACCAAGAATTATAGTCAATTGGAAATGCATTATTCAAGAGGTATACCTGTTTGGATAAGCCTCAGCATTAAGAGGACACATGTGAGTTACTTCTCTCAAATTAACTTTTGAGAATACAAGCTTATGATTGGATGAGTATATGACTGTGGGTCGGTCAGAGCAGGCAAAAACATTTGTCGAGGAGAGTGAGCGGAACCGTCTTAGAGTCGTTGGCTGAGTACCGAGGACAACCTGGAATAAAGGAAATGCATAAATTTGAATGCAAATTAAAAATAATGAATAATAAATAGAAAAATAGTTATTACAATAACAATAATAATAACAATAATAAAAATAATAAAAATAATAACATAAAAAACAACAACAATAATAATAATGAAAACAATGTTGATGATGAATGATGATGATGATGATGATGATGATGATGATATAGTGAAGATAATAACAATGACAAAAATACTATTCATCATTATCATAACAACAATAATAACTATAATCATAACAATGACAATGACAATAATAATAACACTAATAATAATAATAACTATTATGATGATAATAATAATGACTGACAATGAAAATGAAACATGAATAATAATAACAATAATAATAATAACAACAACAACAACAATAAAAATAAATAAAATAAATAATAATAAAATAATAACAATAATAATAATAACAATAATAACACTGCTTGAAATTACACAAAAAATGTAACTCTCACCTTCTTTTTATCTGATAAGTATCCTGTTGCAGGTGCATAACTAAAGTAGAAAAGCTGCCCGTCGCCCATAGCACAAAGGAGGTAATGATGGCCCTCAAACGTTGTCATCAGGATGGAACGAGGAATAATATCTGAGGAAAATGGACGCATAAGTATATCTACATAAACAAATATTTGACTACTAATTTGTTTACTACAGCATTTATCCCTTGCTTGCTGCTCAGTCATTTCAAATTCATAAGGGACCAGCATTAAAAAAATATATATATATATAAAAAGGAAAACAAATCCACTTTGCATTCTTTACAAGCTTACAGATAAATATGAAAAAGGGAGGAGGAGGGAGAAAGGGAGAAAGGGAGGGAGGGGGGAGGGAGAAGGGAGAAGGGGGAGGGAAGGGAAAGGGGGGGAAGGGAGAAGGGGGGGAAGGGAGAAGTGGGGGGAGGAGAAGGGTGGGGAGGAGGATGGAGAAGGGGGGTGGAGAAGGGGAGGAGGACTGAGAATGGGGGTGAGAAGGGGGGAGGAGGAGGGAGAGGGGAGGAGGAGGAGGGGAGGAGGAAGAGAAGAAAGGGGAAGAGAAGGAGGAGGAGGAGGAGGAGGAGGAGGAGGAGGAGGAGGAGGGGAGAAGGGGGAGGAGGAGAAGGGGAGGAGGAGAGAAGAAGGGAGGAGGAGGAGGAGAAGAAGAAAAAGAAGAAGAAAGGGGAAGAGGAAGGGAGGAGGAGGAGGAGGAGGGAGGAGGAGGAAGAGAGAGGAGGAGGAGAGGAGGAGGAGGAGGAGGAGGAGGAGGAGGAGGAGGAGAAGGAGGAGGAGGAGAAGGAGTAGGAGGAGAATGAGGAGGAGGAGGAGAATGAGGAGGAGAAGGAGCAGGAGGAGGATGAGAAGGAGGAGGAGAAAAAGGAGGAGGAGCAAGAAGGAGAGAGAAAGGAAGAGAAAAGGAGGAGTAGGAGAATGAGAATGAGAAGAAGAAGAAGGAGGAGAAGAGGAGAAGAGAGACGAGAGAAGGAGGAGGAAGAGAAAGAGGAGAAAAAGGAGGAGGAGGAGGAGAAGGAAATGGATGAAGAGGAGAAGGAAAAGAAAAGGGAAATGAAGAAGGAGGAGGAGAAGGAAAAGGAAAGGGAAAAGGAGGAGGAGGAGGAGAGAGGAGAGAAAGAGAAGGAAAAGAAGAAGTAGTAGGAGAAGCTATCCTCCTCATAGCTGAGGGCATTAACACAGTTAAAAAGTAAGACTTGGAATGTCTACTCTGTCATGAGTGACAAAAATCGCTTAGACATCCTTTAACATTGCATATTCAACAACAGGATTTATATTATTGTATATCAGTGTAAATGTCAGACCAGCTGTACACTAATCAATGTGTAGCTTCTGAGATCTATACAAAGTAAGAAGATGGAGGAAAAAATCTATATCATGTATATGAATATATACATAAGTAAATAAGTGAACTAATCAAACAATTAATCAATAAATACAGAGATAAACACTTATGTATGCGTATGTACGTATAAGAATGTATATATGCATGTACTACAAACACATTGAATATAATATATTCTACTGAAACAATATTGTTCCATATTCTCAACTCACCCCCTCCTAGGAACTCTTTGGCATTCTCTTCAAGGGATGGTAAAGCAAGCACACGCGCTGAAATGTCAGTCCACAGGCCAACAGCAACCACAGAAGCCATGTCTTCCTCCCACAGAGGAGACACATCTAAGCAAGCCACCTCATGCTCCACTGTGGTCCAACTGCAAAAACAGGTAACCTTAGATCCACACTTTTAAGCCTGCTACAGTAAATTACTCGTTTTAAAGTCACAGGCTTCTTTTTTTCTTTGAAAATGTAAAAAATAATAATAATAATAAAATAAAAAATAAATAAATAAATAATGATAATAATAATAATAATAATAATAATAATAATAATAATAATAATAATAATAATAATAGTAATAATAACCTTTTCAATAGCCTGAAAATATACATTTTGGGCAGTATCTCACATTTTACGGGTTAACGGAATGGTACCTGGCAATACCTACCTTGTTCCGATCATCTGATCATAGAAAGGTAACTGTTTTAGATAACTAATAAATTTAATTTGCATGTTGTATAGTATATAATTGCACTTCTTTTCATACATTCTTTCTATCCCACTGCCCCATAGGAGAGAGATTAGCCCCTACCCCCTTAAAAAAAAACCTTCATGGTACCCTCAACACATCAATTTTTTTCCAAAATAAGCACAAAAAATATTCTACAATTATATTAACTCTAAGTGAAGGGTGTGCCTTTTTTTTTTACAATGAAAGTATATACTCCTCTCTGAAACATTTTATATCTATCAAATCACAAAGAAAACTAATCTGAACCAGTTTTTTCTTTCTGAGGACTGTATCTGTAAAAATTGACTATAATCACATAATCCTTCCATGAATACAACAAATCAGTTCAATATTATGAATTGCAGAGGCACAGACATAAAACAAATGGAGTGCAAGATTGAGTGGTGCCATTAAATCTTTCCCATGTTCCTAACCATTGGGAAGGGGGAGCTGGTCACAGGATGGTTATAATGTCTAAGGAGGTATATATGTGCACACAAGCACGGCCCCCTCACCAATCTCTATGTAAAGGAAAAATCATTAATCATTCTGAAATACTACATACTTCGTACTCTGTACATATACTGACCACTTTAGAAGTTGTAGCATATTACCCTGGAATCTCGATGCAAAGCATATTGCATGTGTAAACGTACAGAAAACTTACATTTTGAAAGAAAAATCTATTTTATCATAAATCATTATAATTATATTTTTTTCTGATAATGGTATAAAAGTGTTCTTTGCACATCCATAAACATATCTATGTGCAATGTCATTATCAAATACCCTATGGAAGCCAAAGTCTAAGACCATGTACTTAACACTAATTACCTGCATATGCAATTCACCTGCTGGCCCCTATGGTCTTGCTATTCCCAAAAAACAACCAGAGGTGGGTTCTAACACTTGTATGGAAGTTTCCTCATACATGTAAGGATACCATAAGCTAAATGACCCCTCTAACCCCTCTTCCACAGGGATGGTCTCCTGAAGTGCAGCCATGTCTCGGGATAAATATCCCTAGACAGAGCCATTTTCCCATGTGTATAGTCAGTAAAGGACACTTGACACAGTAACCAATTTGTGAAAGTACTTAGAAAGGGTGGAGGAAAATGGATCTACCTTGTGAAATCTCAGCTGGCCTATAGCAGTCACAGCAAGCATGCTATCAACCTCTCATGGGACAAGTATTATAATACCTCAAAAAATCAGTTTTAACGATGCCATTCAATACTTACGCCTCTAGTTTGAGGTTAGACGGCTGGATAGTGAGATAGTAGATGTGCTGCCCTGCTGCAGCTACTACTTGATTGTTGTTTGCAGTCACAACCGAAATGTTGCGGCCTTCTGGGGGTTTCCACTCACATACAAGCTGGCCTGTGCTTTCATTTACCAGGCGACATGAACTGCCAGTGACCTGTAATTAGTTTAAGAACTTGAACATTGCGACAAAACAAATATGTCGAGAAAAACAGTCTTAACAATTTCTTCAGTTTCTTCAATTATGCATTTTATTTTCCATTATACCTTCACATTCATAACCTTCTAAATCTCAGCTTACCTGTAACAATTGACTATGTTTTACATTTGAAGACAAGAAAGTTTGCTGATCAGCTACAAAACCTGCAATCTCTGTTTCCTCTACTTCTTCCCCACTCAGAGTCAAAACCCTGAAAGGATATATAAATACTCAATATTCTTTGTAGTCACCTGAGTCACAGTAAGACTTTAGTTATGCCCTTGAACATCTACTGACACAGTAACATCAGCCGCATTAATTGGTAAACTTTGCTTTTCCTAATGCTGTTCTCTTGTGTTCAGCCAGATGAAGATTTGCTTTTCTATATCTTACTACCTCAACATACTGTATAGATAAATATACAACAGCTATAATCATACTAACCACTCACAAAACTCATAATATACAGTATCCAAGATCAGCTATACTATATCTGATTATATGAATCACACTATGGCATGTCTACAAGTTCAAGCTCATTTTCAGTAACAAACAATAAAATAAGCACATTTATACAAACATGAATATATATACAAATGTGGAAAGGTATGAATGAGAACGAATATCTTCACAATACAAGAGATGTATTTGACCGGTTTCGATTATATCTTCGTCAGAAATACATCATGTATTTCTGACGAAGATATAATCGAAACCGGTCAAATACATCTCTTGTATTGTGAAGATATTCGTTCTCATTCATACCTTTCCACATTTGTCAACATGAATACGGTTCATATATACAAATGTCTACATACACATAGATATACATACATCATGAACATACATACTTATATAAACACATACATATGTATATCTTTACATATATATATATATATATATATAT